GAGGGAAGAGGGTCAGAGGGAGAAGCAGACTCCCTGCCGAGCAGGGAGCCCGATGTGGGACTCGATCCTGGGACTCCAGGATCATGACCTGAGTCGAAGGCAGTAGCTTAACCAACTGAGCCACCCAGGTGCCCTATACTGATTTTTAATACGGTCTTTACACATACCATTTGTGTATGTCACTTAATGCCGGCAGTCTGTCTCCTTTCCTTTGTGTATGCTTTGCTACTTCTACTCTTGACCCAGAGCTCTTGCTTTCCTTAGAGATTTTCACCACCTATAGAGTGGGTATCGATTTTTTATTTTTTACATTTCTTTTCTTGTTAGTGCTGTACTGTAGACTTGGTTTGCCATTCCTGCCCTAGGACTTTATCAAAAGACTTTTCCTACTTTCACTTAAACTTTTATTTCCCACATCACTTTAAGGTATACATTTTACTCTTCCCCCACCCCCCTTCATTAATACAGTACCATTTGACTCTGTCATTAGGCTGTCAATCTGTGAAACTCTTGAAGAAGAAAGAAAGACCTTATTTTAAATCGGCCTGATACTTTGCTAAGGAGGTTGGTGAACTCTCTACAATTCTATTCTTGTCAGGAATAGGCTTTTGAAATTATAAGGAGAAGAAATGAAATTTAGAAGAGCTATCCCACCATGAGAGATCTAGGGAGAATAAAATAAGGAAAAGAAGGACAACATCCACTGCAAAGTTCTAGGGAAGATTCCTTGCCTCATTTAAAAATAACTAAATGTGTACCCCAGATGCCCCAAATGCCGGGCTGAGGGGTTCCAGGCATGACATTCCTGAAGAGAAAATGGTGTCGGAGGTCCCTAGAGCTGAGGTCCCCATTCCATTGTGAGCGTTCAGAAAATGAAACGCTTTCCATCTAAATTTCTAGGTTAAGGTAGTAGAGCTTGGGGTGTTGAGCCCGGGTGAGAAAAGGAACGGGGAACATTTAGTAACCATTCCCAAAGAAATGTTACACAAATGTTGGTGAGCGCCAAGGTCCTCCGTTTCCAATGAAGTCAGGGGAAGACAATACGCCTGAAGTGCAGTAGGAGAGATTTATGCTAAAATTCAGACAGACTGCCTGGGTTCTGAGATTCTCGAAGATGTTACTAAGCAGAGCAGGACTCGCCCCACAAACAAGGCTGGAGAGTTTTCCAAGATTCCGAGTCATTAGGCAGGGTTTCCAGGGACAGCGGAGCTCCAGCTTCAATTGTTCCGCGACATAATCTGACCTGATTCACGAAGGAAGCCTATGGAATTGTATTGACTTCAGATTTTCCATAGAAAGGTGGGTGGTGACCAAGCAGGGGAATAAGTCCATGCTTTCTGAAGATGGGGGCGCCGGCTAGCCCATTTATTTCATAATTGTACAAATGCTACAGCAAATGAAAAAACGGCAGTTAACCTCCTGTGCCAAGCATGAGACCAATTTATATTTCTGCCTGAAACTGAATGATTTTCGATGCGAGGGAAGTGAGGAGGCTGGATTAAAAAGTTTCATGTTGGGAAGATCATATAGAGACAGTAATGAGGGTAGGGCCGAAGGAAGTACATTCTTTAAGCTGCTTCCCTGAAAAATTTCAATCAGCTGCGAGCTTTTGCTTCACAAAACTTTGACATATGTCCCTTGACCTTTCCCAACTACCCTTTCACGTTCGACACTTAACGTTTCCTCCACGATTAAAATTCAGCGTTAATTAATTTCAACAGTATCAGTTAAGTTATATTTAGCTAAGAACACTCACTTTTGTCTTTTGTGAGTAGCACTGCAGTGTTATTACAAAGAGGTAGTCAGGAGGGCAACAGATATGAGAAGAGAAGAATGATTCAGTGTGCAGATAATTGTTTCGAGTGAAATTTAGCTTGGTATTTTTGTTCCTGTCCTCAGTAGAACTGAGATTTAGCACCTCGCCTTGGCATTTAGCCCCCACCCCCACATAGGAGGAGGCTGTGCTGGGCGGGTGCTGAGAACGAGCCACACCAGAGTTAAATTATAGCTCAGTTCTAACACTGGCAAGAATTTTCTCTGGCCAGCTCCTGGGTGCAAAGCTGGTGATTCCAAAAGAGAGGCAAGGCATCCCTAGAAAGGATCTCCATATGGTGTGGCATCACCCTCGCTGAGGGGGGTTGACATGGTTGTTTAAAGAGCATCCCCCCAAAGGTGGTGACCGTTCCCGAAGAAAACAGTGGCACCCCAGAATATTGAGACAAAGCAGAGTTATACCTCTAACCTTAAAACGTCACCTGTGAGGTTGTCTTATTGGCTTATTCCATAACGTGACCAAGAAGCTTGCTGGAAATGGACAGAACCCAAGAAATTTGACCTCTTTCCCTGGGTTGTCCAAGTGAGAAAACATTTTTATTAGTTTATTCCATGCTCTTTTAACTCTGTGTGAAAAGACTATGATGAGGGTATGGATATGCAGATCTTGTTTTTACCTGCAGCTCAAAATCCTATAGAACCATTACAACTGCTGCTGTTTGGGATATTATACCATGAAATCCTGGTCCATAAGTTTATTGTGCCGCTGAAACACTTCTGCCTTTTAGATCCCTGTACAGAACGGGAAGAGAGAAGCTCTCCATTTGGTAGGCAGTAGAGGTGAAGTAAATTCATGCATAAGTTGCCCTTATATGTCTAAGTAAACATTCAGTAATACAAATAGTAAATTGAATTTTGGGGTTCTTTGAGACAGTATACCCAGGTAGCCTCCAGCTGTTAAAAAAACAAAGGAAACCAACTTTGTAGCCTTTTCATTTGTGTTTGGCCAAATGTTTTGCTTCCTGTAATTCAAATTTTAGGTTCTAGAATCTAGTTCCATGCCCTCGTCTCATCCTCTACCTGTAGTTGGAGCACTCTCAATCCCTGGCAGATTCTGTGTTCCTACCCACCCCATAGGAAAAATGAAAGCCAAGGATTTAGGTAGCTCTGTTCCAGTAATCAAGCAATTCAACATCAAGTCACATTTCTGCTGCCCAGGTCCTGATAGACTGTCCCTGTCCTAGTCACTGGCCTTGAGTCTTAAGCCCGAGGTCAAGTCTACCTTGTGCTCTTGATGGGATGCCAAATACCTATCTTGGTCCCAGGGCATGGGAACCTGACCAGCCCTCTAGGATGGGGTCTCTGTTTTTATTTTCTTTTTTTCCTCACTTTTCTCCTTGTCAGCTCCCCACCGACTCCTCATTCTGAGATCGAGTCTGATAGTTATGGTCTTGTTACCACTGAAAACATGTCTGGTTTCCATATCCTGCTCAAGGCTCTGACCTGAGTCCACTCTGGGCTCCTGGATCTGCTTATTGCTGGTCACAGCAGCCCTGAATCTGTCCACCTCCACCAGCCACTGGGCCTCCTAGTTACTCTGATTCACCTTTCACATTGGACTGTCTCCCCACACCTTCCACTGAATAAATTGCCAGGAACACATGTACCACCCCCATGGGCTGCTCTGTTCCAGGTCCTGGTTCTTCTCCCATTCTGTCCTCCTGCAGTTGACTTTAGCCGTGTGTCCTGCAATGAGGTAATGCAGGAAGAGGCCGAGCTTTAGTATTTAGAGGATCAAACATAGATGAAAGGGGGAAACTCATACCCTATAGTTAGGAGCAAATAACATTTTTAAGAGTGGGAAGACTTTATTGAAAAATGTAGTTTGCTAGTCCTGGAACCTTCTAATTCTTTTTGGCTTCACTTGGTTTAATAGAAGATGGAAATATTTTTATTTAAAATATTCACTTCCAAATTAAAATTCCAAACTGCTCTGTATCTGCAAGATCTTCTCTTCAGTGGACCGAATAGGTGGCTTTTCGAACTCCCTGCGATTAAATAGTTTTATTTTGTAATTTATTTTCCTGTCTGTTTTTACATTTAAAGGTGTTACACAATGGCCTCATTATGGAGATGAAGCATCCAACCGTGGGGAAGATATCAGTGCCAGGTTTGAAAATTTTTGTCATTTTCCTTAATCCCTTCCTTCCTTCCTGAATTATTCCCTGTGCTGATCGCTGCAGGTAGTTGGTGATCCCCCAAATGGTTTGTCGAGACATTATCCAACTTCTTCATTTGGATAAAAGGGAAACCCCTAGTTTTGTCACACCCATGAGCATGTGCCAAAGCTACAGAATTGTGTTTTGGCTCGAACAGTGTCCGATTGCCTTGGTGACCCAAAATGCTCATATTCTCTGACTCCATTTTGTGTCATCATGTGCTCACAGGAGTACGTAATGTAATTGCCAGAGATAAATAACCGTAGGTATGGCACCTATTATGAAATGACATGTGGCCCATACACGAATGAGAACGGAAGCCAGGCGCCATGGAGGTGGTATCTGGGAAAGCTACTGACTGCTGGCCAGGGCACTTTCCTTCTGGACTATGGTTGACAGTACAGATCTCAGCTTTGTAGATAAGGAAACTAAATGTTTTCACTTCACTCAGAATACATTGAATTTTTCTAACTTGACTCATACCAAACAAATGCACTGAGACATTTTGGTCTAAGCCAAAATGCCAACTTTTTCACTTCTGGGAGAGTTTTTCTGGAAGCCAGAAGCCTCGTGCCTACTCTGGGAGCATCCAAAGTGTCGTGAGAGCTCATGACCAACCTACCGCCCCCCACAGACTTCACTTCTCTAATGATCATAATGTTACCATTCCTCAGATCTGTTGTCTTTGCTCGGGGCACTACTGGGAAAACATGCCACATTCTTGTTCATCGGGTCCCTGTTTCCTAGCCTATACACAAACCAGACACTTATTTCTGTCTCTTTTTCTGACAAAGGATAATGAAATTAGTTAGGACTTTGGTCATTGCTTACTTGAAACTGTATGCTGGTTACCATGCTTGATATTTGGGCATTCCCCAAAGCCCTCACCCACCTCAGACAAACAGCATAGAGCATTTACTTCTCTAGGTAGCAGATCACATTTATTGAATAACTTATTGTTAAGTTCATTCTAGGTATAATCTAATTTTAAGATTCAGGATCAGCTTGATAATGATGTCCCAGAACAGATCCGACTGTGGCCATCGATGTGAAAAGGATAAGAAGAGGGAAGTATGATGAATAAAGCAAGTTGAAAGAGAAAATTCTGACATGCAGGGGTATAAGGAACACTACATGAATTAAGGAAGATATCTAAGAGAGAGAGCAGGTGTGAGCACGTCAGAGACTGGGACCACGTACTAACAGTACTAAATACTATATGGTGTAGGCAGGTGGTAGTGAGAAAAAGGCCTGTTGATAAAAGCTAAGGAAGTCACTTAGTCATTCATATGATTGAGCATATACCATGTGCCAGGCAATGCTTTGGGTCCTGGGAGTGCAAAAATAACGGAGCTCGTACTTGATGGAAAGTCAAATAATAAAAGTAGCCAGCAAATGCTCCTGTAAGTGTAAGTCATGGTGAGTGCAAAGAAGAGGACACAAATGATGTGTTGTCATGGAGAATAATGGAGGCAGATAGGACCTACATTAGTTTGAGTGATCGGTGAAAGCCCGGTGACTTATCAATGGAAAACCATAGGATAATAAGAAGTTGACACATGAAGAGTAGGGGAAGAGTGTTCCAAGCAGAGGGACCAGCATGTGAGAAAACTCTGAGCAGGGAAAGAGCTGGGTGTGTTTTAAGCCAATATGGCAGGTGAAGTAAGGGGCAGGAAATCAGACTGTGGAGAAAGCAGAGCCTGAAGGCCCCACCAGAGGTGGTTTTATTCTAACTTGATGCAGAGGAGTGAAGTGGCATAACTTATAACTTAACGCGGGGAGTCACATCAGGAAGTTGTGACGGGAGTGAGGTGATTACATCTTAAGTTAGGGTTCATGGCAATAGTGATGATTAGACAGGAGTGGCTAAAACAAAACACTTAAGTACAGTGTTTTCAGTGTGAGGAGACATTAAAAAACATTTTGTCTAGTCGTTTTGATTTTACATTTTAAGCAGGGGAACTGATTTTCCAAGCGAAATCTCAATATTCTCAAGACCTAAGAGAGATTAAAGCAGAGTTTTGCTGGTTGAGAGGTTAGCGCTCCAACCGTTTGACTTTCCTCCTCTGCTTCTGTCATGCTGTCTCCAAATACCTGCTTGGAACCATGGGACCCAAAGAACATTCAAGAACATTACTGGTGTAATTTAATTCTACAAGTTTACAGATGCGGTCACAGTCATTAATATCCCCAACACATGAGAGGAAAGGGTAAACATTTGAAAGTTAATACAATTGTTAGTATAGTAAGGAGAAAAGCGAGTCAGCGGCCAACCTAGAAGGAACTCATTGGATTTAACACTCTCTAGATCAATCAGATGTGAATTTGCCGACTTTCAGTCTTGGGAAGAGAGAAATATTTTGTCAGATTCCTAAGGGAAAAGCATGCCCTTTTTCTCATTTTAATGTATAAGTGTATCACTTGGCTATTGTCAGAATAATGCTGTGTAACAAATAACCACAAAATCTCAGTGCCATTCAAACAGAGGCATTTATTCATTCTATGCACATACACCAAGTAGGGGATAGCCAACCGAGGCTGGACTTGCCTGGGTGGCTTTTCTTCTAGGTGCAGTTCTGGCCAGGCGTCTCTGTGAGATAGACCCAGCTCTGCCCCATGTCTCTCACGTTCTTCTTGTGGCAATGGCAAAAGAGCAAGAAGGCAAACAGAAACCGCAGTGCATAACTCACAGACCCTTCTGTCCACATTCCATTGGTCAAACCAAGTTTTGGGTTGTGTCCCAAGGAGTGGGGAAATCTTTCTCTTTTTTTAAGAGAAACAGGAAAGCTATATGGTGAAAGAAAGCATGGGCACAAGGAGCGGCAAATAACGGGCCCAAAATTCAATTTACCACAATACAGTTCTCAGATCTACAGCTATCTCTTTTTTATGTGTTATTTTTATCTTTATTTCTCTTTGGAAAATTCTATTTTTGTTTCTTCTATTTCTATCGCATGTAGGCATAGTTTTGGTATATCTGCTTTACTGACTTACCTTATATTCCTTTTACAGAATTGTCAGTATAGGAAATCTCAGATTTCAGGTGACACGGATATGTTTAGATTAATTTTGGAATTAGTATCTGAGTGTCTCTTGAGAGCTTCTGGCACATTGGGATCCCCAGGAAAGGGGAGAGACCATTCTGCTTGTGGACATCAATAAGTTGCTATTGTATCACCTAATTCCCTGTATCCTATTGAGAGGCCACTCACATAGGGTAAGAGATATTAAATGCAAAGGGGATTTATCAGTAAATAATTGTTCTCCTGTGGATTTCCCCCTTCACTGACTGTATTTACCTATGATCGTTCTGCCTTTCTTTGTAAGGGGTGTCCCCATTGGAGATCTCATGAATGCTGTAGAAATGACTCTGATTCTCCCACAATGCCTCAATGAGGTGAATCTGCCAAAACAGGAAACCCAGAGTGGAGTTAAAAGTGATATTATGCTACATTGTGTTCTAGTTAGCTAGTGGAGACATATTTTTGAATTCATTAAATGCAGTTCTATATATATGTATATATACACACACATATATATATCTACATCATTACATTTACAGTAAAAATCCTTGTTAATCTTACTTAAAACCACTTATTTATATTTCCTTTGTTATTAATGAACTTCTTGTGACCTTTCCTGAATTTTCCATACATTGCACTGACTTGCCTGAAGCGTTTTCTATCTTAGTCATTTCTAGAAACTTGTCTCTTGAAGAACAGCAATAAATCATATACAATATTTATTGCACCATTTTCAGAGATGTGTAAATCTATGCCATTCCCTCAGATTCTCAGTTTAGAGCTCCCACCTAGGAGACTGCTGATTGATTCATACCTTAAAGCTACTGATCAATCGATGTTTAATATACTTTGAACAGGGATGGGAAATTATTAACCTCTTCAGAATTCCTTTTGGCTACTTAAATAATTATTGTGAGTACTTAATACATCATTCCAATATTTGTAATCAGTACCAATATTAAAGTGAGTAGTATGACCTCAACTGTTTGCTTTATTAATTTATATCTATTGCAGCATCCTCCCTTTTCATATCGTTTCTCACCACTTCCAGGCTATAGGAAATAATTTAGGAAGAAATTTCATTTGTGTATACGCATGTCCTTGATAAAGCATGCAAACTAGTTAATGCTCATGAATTACCTCTATGAGTTGTTGTTAGGCTAATACTGTTCTTTTTTTTTTTT